TAGCTCATCAGGAAGCAATAAGTTGAGATTTGATGATGTCCAAAATTTGGTTCTCAGTGAAGAGATCCGACGGAGGGAGTCGGGTGAACCATCAACTTCTTCTGTATTGCATACAGAGTCGAGAGGAAGAAGTTCAACCAAAGAAAGCAGACATATTAAATCAAAGGGAAGAAGATCCAGGTCCAGAAATCATCGTAGTTCCCAAATCTCGAAGTCGATCGAGTGCTGGAATTGTGGGAAGACCGGGCACTACAGAAATCAGTGCAAGAGTGAACTGAAGGATCAGGAGACAAAAGAAGAGGCAAATTTTGCTTCAACCTCTGGAGGAGATTCGCTGATATGTTTTTTGGAGAACAGAGAAGAGTCTTGGGTGTTAGACTCTGGAGCATCCTTTCATGCTACCTCACAGAAGGAACTATTCGAGAATTATGTTCCTGGAAATCTTGGTAAGGTTTACCTTGGTAATGAGCAATCATGTGAGGTTGTCGGCAAAGGTGCAGTAAAAATCAAGTTGAACGGGTCTGTTTGGGAATTGAAAAATGTCAGACATATTCTTGACCTGACGAAGAATTTAATCTCCGTAGGCCAGCTAGCTAGTGAAGGCTATACGACAATCTTCCATGGTGATGATTGGAAGATTTCAAAGGGTGCGATGACAATTGCTCGAGGCAAAAAGAGTGGTACTCTTTACAAGACCAAAGAAGCATGTCATCTGATTGCAGTTGCAATAGATGAAAGTCTCAATCTATGGCACCAAAGACTTGGGCATATGAGTGAAAAAGGATGAAGATCATTCACTCAAAAGGGAAATTACCAGACCTCCAGTCAATAGAAATTGACATGTGTGAAGGCTGTATACTTGGAAAGCAGAAGAGAGTCAGCTTTCAGACAAGTAGAAGAACCCCAAAGAAGGAGAAGCTTGAGCTCGTCCACTCTGATGTTTGGGGTCCAACGACTGTCCCATCCGTTGGTGGGAAGCAATACTTCGTGACTTTTATCGATGATCATTCCAGAAAGGTATGGGTTTACTTTTTGAAACACAAGTCAGAAGTATTTGAAGCTTTCAAGATTTGGAAAGCTATGGTGGAAAATGAGACAGGCTTGAAGATCAAGAAGCTCAGATCCGACAATGGTGGTGAATACGTAACCACAAGATTCAAGAAGTTTTGCTATGAGCACGGGATCAGCATGGAGAAAACTGTGCCTGGTACGCCTCAACACAATGGTGTAGCTGAGCGTATGAATCGAGCATTGACTGAAAGAGCCAGAAGCTTGCGTGTGCAGTCAGGCCTACCAAAGCAGTTCTGGGAAGAAGCAGTCAACACAACAACTTACTTGATCAACCGAAGTCCACCGGTACCACTGATCACAAGTTACCAGAAGAGGTATGGAGCAGAAAAGAAGTAAAACTCTCACATCTTAGAGTTTTTGGGTGTGTAGCATATGTGCACATCAGTGATCAAGGTAAAAACAAACTTGATCCAAAATCAAAGAAATGTACTTTCCTTGGTTATGGTGAAGATGAGTTTGGCTACCGCTTATGGGATGATGAAAGCAAAAAGATGATCCGCAGCAGAGATGTCATCTTTAATGAAAGAGTGATGTACAAGGACCGGCATAACACAAGTGCCAGCAACTCAGAAGCGAGTGGGCCAGTTTATGCAGAGGTGGAAGATATTCTAGACATTCCAATAATAAGGAATCCTCGGTCAGAGGAATTAAATGAAGAAAACGGTGAGCAATCAAAACCTTCTACTCCAACTCCTGTATTGAGAAGGTCCTCTCGGCCCCATGTGCCTAACAGGAGATACATGGACTACATGTTGTTGATCGATGGAGGAGAACCTGAAGATTATAAGGAGGCTTGTCAAACCCCGGATGCTAGCAAGTGGGAGCTTGCCATGAAGGACGAGATGAAGTCTTTGATCTCGAATCAGACATGGGAACTAGTCATGTTACCCATAGGAAAGAAAGCTCTTCACAACAAATGGGTGTATCGGATGAAGGAAGACCATGATGGTTCCAGGAGATACAAAGCCGGACTGGTTGTCAAAGGGTTTCAACAAAAAGAAGGAGTTGACTATACTGAAATCTTTGCTCCAGTTGTAAAGCTCAATACTTTCAGGACTGTGTTAAGTATTGTGGCTAGTGAAGAGCTCTATCTAGAGCAGTTAGACGTGAAGACTGCATTTCTTCACGGAGACTTAGACGAGGAGATCTATATGCACCAGCTTGAAGATTTTTCAGACGGAAAGAAGGATATAGTGTGCAGATTGAAGAAGAGCTTGTACGGCCTGAAACAAGCTCCAAGACCGTGGTATAGGAAGTTCGAAAGCTTCATGCACAAGAAAGGTTTCCAGAAGTGCAATGCTGACCACTATTGTTTCTTCAAGAAATGTGAGTCCAGCTATATCATATTGCTACTTTATGTCGATGACATGTTAGTAGCAGGATCAAATATGAAAGACATCAGAAATTTGAAGATGCAGTTGTCAAAAGAATTTGACATGAAGGACTTAGGCCCAGCGAAGAAGATTCTTGGAATGCAAATTACGAGAGATAAGCAAAAGGGAGTTTTGCAGTTATCTCAGGCAGAGTACATCAACCGTGTTTTGTAGAGATTTAACATGGACAAGGCCAAACCAGCCAGTACACCTTTGGCCAGCCATTTTCGTCTATCCAAGGATCAGTCTCCTCAAACAAAGGAAGAAGAAGAGTTCATGGCTAAGATTCCTTATGCTTCAGCCGTTGGAAGTTTGATGTACGCGATGGTCTGTACGAGGCCAGACATTGGCCATGCAGTGGGAGTTGTGAGCAGGTTTATGTCAAAACCAAGAAAAGCTCATTGGGAAGCAGTCAAATGGATCTTGAGATATCTAGAAGGCACAACAGAAAAGTGTCTGTATTTTAGAAAAGATGATCTAAAGTTACAGGGCTACGTAGATGCAGACTTTGGAGGTGAAGTTGATCACCGAAGAAGCACCACCGGTTATGTTTTCACTGTCGGAGCTACAACTGTTAGTTGGATGTCGCGAATACAAAAGATTGTAGCTTTATCCACTACAGAGGCTGAGTATGTAGCAGTGACAGAAGCCAGTAAAGAATTGATATGGCTTCAAGGATTGTTAGCAGAGTTGGGTTTCACTCAAAAAGAGAGTATCTTGCACAGTGACAGTCAGAGTGCAATACATCTGGCAAAGAACTCAGTGTTTCACTCCAGAACTAAGCACATTGACATACGATATCATTTCATCAGATTTCTGCTTGAGGATGAAGTGATGACTTTAAAGAAGATTGTAGGAAGCAAGAACCCAGCAGATATGCTAACGAAGGTGGTGACCATTGACAAACTGAAGTTGTGCTCAACTTCAGTTGGCCTGCTAGAGTAACAGACCGGAGAAGACTACTGCAGTAATGGAGGTGTGAGGACAGATTGAAATCAATCCTCAAGTGGGAGATTGTTGAGTCAAAATTTGGATGCTGAGCCCATTCTCTTTGACAAGCAACAAAATGGAGAAAAGTGTAAAAAAATTGAGCAGCCCCAAAGTCTTGAAATATTGCAGCAACCGAGAAGCTGCCTTTTGTTGAAAAAGGTGAGTATACTTATGTTGAAAAATGTGTACTCATCCTCTATAAAAGGAGGAACAAATGTTCAGAGGAAACACCACAGCAAAATACAACAACCAAATACAAGAAAGAAAAAGGAGAGCGAGAGAGCTAATAGAAATTTAGCTTTTGTGTGTATTTGAGTTGTGAGTTGTGAGTGAGTTTGCGAGTGTTTTGTAAACACGAGTGTTTTCTTTTCTCCTAATAAAATATCTGCAGTAGTCCGGAGACGTAGGCATTATTGGCCGAACTCCGTTATCAATTGGTGTGTCTAATTTTTTTATTTCACTTTTATAGATCCGACTTCATGGAAATTTCAGCGTATTTTTCCCAACAGTTGAGCACGGTCAAACAAAGAGAAAGATGATTATCGTGAAAATGTGTTTTCTCTCGTGAAGAAATTGAATTTGTATTAGGGGTCGGCGCGGTCCGGGATTTGACTTGTCTCGGTACCTGTCCCGCTTTTATGAATCGGTCCGAGACGAGACACCGTCCCAAATGGACCAATAGATATGGACAAAACGGTTCGAGTTCGGGACAAAACAGATAAAAAATAAACTCAACCATAATGATTCTATAATATCCACTAAAAACAACAGGCTCCAACATCCACTTACTCTAAAGACATTTTGAATATGCAATTCAAAATTTGATTACAAAGTTCAGCGAAGGACGTACAAGAACACCCTTTTTTTTTTTTTTTTTTAATGACGGTAAATATTTCTTTTTGTATTATAGTTACTCAATTTAATACTATTTTCACTTAGAAGACAAATGTTTGACTTATTTTCTCTCAAAATGCAGAGTATATTTTGTATTATTAGTTAATAATTAGTTTCTCATTACTGATCATTTGTCAATAAAGCACAAATAGGTCAAATATGGTGCATGGTTGGTGTAATATTAATAGTAAAAAAATTAAAATTTGAAGGGGGGTGTTATAAATTTTTTTTGTATAAATATCGGGCTATGTTCAATTATCAGAGTTAAATTATGGGGTTATGTTCAATAAATGATGATGTTTAATCAGACAAAAGATTTATGTATATTACCTTCTGGACTTGATTATTTCATTTTTTGACCATTATAAGGGTTATTTGAGCAATAGGAAAAAGAAGTCTTATGTACACAAACTTGAGGTATGGATACAATTAATCAATACATTGCTTGCATACAACATTTTCAGTCTAAGGTTCTGAATCCGATTGTTGTGCTTCCCAAATTTTGATGCAATTAATCAATATATTGCATACAACATTTCCATGTTCACTGGATCAACAATCTCAAGGTTTAACAAATTGTACGTCTCTAAGGATTTGGAAAATTATCAAAGACGAAATGGACAAAATAATAACTCGATGGTTGAACAAAGCTGTTACAGTTTTTCCAGATCTTCAAGGACTGAATGGAGTGAGATCAATTTTGAACTGTTGCTTTCCCTTGCTAACCTTCTGTAAATGGCAAAACAAAAATCAAAAGACGTGAAAATCAATGAAAGCACCATGGCTTTTTTTAAGCGATTGATCTTTCTTCACGATGATATGCCCAAGAAAAATTGATTCTTTTAGTTCGTTACGACACATTATATAAAAAAAGGAAAGCCTCTGAAGATTTTATCTTACAGCAATTGCAATAAGCTCCTCCAAAAGTTCCTCCAAGTGGCGAAGGGGCTGCATAATAAAAATGAACAATGTCATTTATCATGCCAAGTGCCAATACTGGAAGCTCTTTGTTCCAGAAAGCAGTTTTAATACAGAACTATGATACATATAAAACAAAATCTGGTTCATGCTTACCCATTGTGTTGGACCATCAACCGGAGCATTCAAAGGGTCATCATGTACCTATTAGCTACGAAACGCACTCTTAGAAAATAATCTGAAGAACTTAATCATAAGAATAATTTCAAGCAACTGTCTATTGTATGAAGTGATCTGGTCTTGTACCTCCATAAAGATACCATCCACCCCAACAGCAACCGCAGTCCGGGCAATGCAGGGTATCAGCTCACGAAGACCACCACTGGCAACACCACCACCTTCTAACTGTTGATGTAATTAATCAGCCTATTTTATGATCGATATTAAATAGTTAAGGAAACGTAAATAGATGTTATTTAAATAAATGCAGGGAGCACTAAGGGCGTGCTTGGATACAAATATATCCTCAAAGCGAGTTTTTTTATTAACCAGGGTTAATTTTGAAAAAGGTGGTATGATTAGTTAGTTAGATTTTGAGTTTATATTAAAATAATATTTAAAATAAAGTAACTAAAGTTGATTTGATATAAAAGTAGGAGATGAATAATGTGAAGTGATGGTTACTTTACTTAAATTTATGTGAGTGGATGAATAGTTAATTAAAGTTGATGTGATGTGTAAGAATGATAAATTGATATTATTTAATAAATACACACCATATAGTGGGGTTGAATTAATGTTGAGTTAGATTTTGATTGTGAATAGAGTATGGATTGAGTTTTTTAATAAACAAACATACCCTAAGCTTGTGGTAACATCTAGGCCTTGTTTTGGGAGATACGGGTTTGTTGATAAAACTTGGTATGTCAAAGTTTAAATATTGTTCAGTAAGGGATCCAATATCCATGTGAAGCAGAATAATCCAAATAAGACAACATATTAGATATTACTGACTTCAAGTTCATTCTAGAGTCTTCAACGAACACGCCATCTTACATGACTTGAGTAGGGTATGTCATAGAACCTATATCTTTAATATCACAGGACCACCCAAAAGAGGCCACCAAATACTTTTAGATATAAAAGGAATTTGTTCATGGTTGATGGAGTTTGTCACTGTTGATTATGTTATATATTCATCAAACATATTAAAGATTTATAATGCATACCTTTCTCCCTGCAGGCTGCTGTAAAGAATGAGTAATATCAGCCACCTTAAAAAATGAAAAACAATTAGTAAATTAGAAGTCCTCAAAAATATTTCACATGTGAAGCGGATGTGTCAATTATGGTAAACATAGCACAGGTGCATAGTGAATCATGTATCAAAAATCTTACAACAGGACAATTCGCCTCCCTCATCCACTCCAAGTTACGTGGATCAACAATAAGGTCATCTGCATAATAGACCAAGTAACTTTAGAAAGCTATGTACACAAGTAAAAGTTCATCTTTTACATAGAGAAGAGCTAATAAGGAAGTGGGGATTACTTACTGTAGCCAAACATTGTGCCTCTCTCACATACCATGACTTTTTCGTTTCCGGCCATCCTTATCTTTTCAGCAGAGTTTGCCATGACCTACAAAACCCATTAACCAAAAGTTGCCAATCAATATCTATATATCCTAAGAGGTGCAGTAAAAAATTAACTGTGAAACAAAACTAGGGGGAACTATAACTCACAGAAGGAGCACAAAATTGGCCTTTCTTGATATTGATTATTTTCCCGGTCTTAGCAGCTGCCACAAGCAAATCAGTCTGACCTCCGAAGAAAACAAAATACAGAGCAATGATAATTAATAATAGGATGCGTACATGAGACATGAAAGGTTTATAACAACTAAGCATTTATTTTTAACTAAAACTAAAAATTTCGAATCTAACCTGCCTGCACAAGAAGGCTGGAATCTGAATTATATCAGCAACTCTGCCAACAGCTTCACACTGTAATAAGATATGAGAATCACTAGCCAGCACCGCTTGTTTTCGGTTTAGCATAAATTTGCTTTTGGCCTATCCTAAATGAATTTGCTGATTCTCAAATTTTGCAAGAAATGAGACAAAATTCGGCAGATTCGTATTATCCATCCATAGTTAGCATCTAAAGATATTATACTGATCATGTATCCACACAAATGCTACGTCAAGTACTCCGATGATGAAAGCAACACTAGCATACAATATAATTATGCATCAAAACGATCTTTAAAATGTTTTCCAATTTCAGATCCAACCTGGATCGACTCGTGGACATCGGTAACTACTGGAATGTCGTACGACGTTTTCACCTTCTCAAGAATCTGCAGATCAAACAAGCAACAAATTCAACACTCTTCCCCTAAGGACAGTAACATGCACATTCACACCATCACCAACCCAAAATCCTTCTTGAAATCCTAAGATAAACCATAATGTTTATCCCAATTCAAACTACAAATACATAAGAATTCGCAACCTTCAAGCCTTCAGCCAAACCTGGACCGCGAAACGACTTCGAGGAAGTCCGATTGGCTTTGTCGAAGCTCGATTTGAAAACCAGCGGCAATCCAAGCCTGTGCAACCAGCATAAACCACCGAATTCAGCGAGCATTACAATAATTTAACTTCAACATAAAAAAAAGGACATAATGTGCAATAACAGTTGCAAAAATAAAAAATCAGTACTTAGACGTGATTGCTTTGATTTGCTTGGCCATGTGGAGAATGTGTTGTTCCGATTCGATCACATTCGGTCCCGCCAGTACGAAAAATGGCTCCGCCGTCTGTTTACGGAACAATTACCGGTGACTGAGACGGTAATCATCTTCGAATTTCAACAAAAGATGAAAAGAGAAAATTGGAAAAAATGTAAATAGATTTCGAAAACCTTGAGCTGATTGAAAAGCAGTGCTGATGAATCCATGTCTCTCGCCGGTTCAAAATGGAAAAGCTCGGAAAAAAAAAAAAAAAATCTGATGATGGTCTGAGATCTCACGGGGGCGTCGGGGCGAAGAGGAATGACTGACGTCAGTTAAAAATTAGACGATGAGATAATTGTCCATTTTGTGTCTCCAATAGTTAATGATAATTGTAATTTCTTTGAATTTTAATTGGTCGAACAAGATAAATTAATTAAATAAATACTCTAATATACAATAGAAATTGTCTAGAAAGGCTTCTACATCTAGAAAGCCTTCTAGAATTTTTTCAAGCCACGCAATATTATTTGTGACATGTGGCAAAAAAAATAGAGAAATGGAAAGACCATTGGAGATGCTCTGAATATGGAAGATTTTTTGATGTATTTTATGAATTCAATATATTTTTGTTCACGAGTGGAAATCCTTCCTTATATATTAATTCAGAACGTGTTGAGCCTAGGTGGCAGATTCTCATGCTTCGGATGTTGATATGGTGAAAATCTATGCTTCGTGATGTTATTTTTATATTATTTTTGCTCTGGAGTTAGGTTTGGTATTAACCATAAATAACTTTACACATATATCCATTAACTCAACACCCATGTTGTACATGGGTATGGGTACTAGTTCATAATTATATTCAAAATAATTTTGAATAACAAAAAAATTTAATATATCTAGGTTAATTCACAATATTTCTGCTGACTTGTTTAATTATTAAACAAACCTCGACTTCTTAAGGCTCGTGAATAAAAATTTGTACATAATTATTTACAGTCTAATTCGTTAAGGATTGAACTCGTTCTCGTTAAGCTGCTAGCTTGTTAACAGGCTTGAGCCCAAACTCGAGTATCAGAAGTTCGGGCTCAGTTTAATTTAATTATAAAGACAATAAATAAACTTGAAATAACTGCTTTAAATATATATATATATATATATATATATATATTAATTCATTCCAATAGTAACAAGATTAAATATAATTTATTCTACATCAACCATTGATATGAATTGCATATTTTCGTCTGATGGGATAAGATTCTTCTGATCGTGATATAAATTGAAATGAAAATTTACGTTGAACTCTCTATTTTAGAGAAATTTGATAGTATTTGTTGTGGTAGGTTATTCTTCTAAATCAGTGTAAGACTTAATATAAATTGAAATTTGCATATTTTCATCTGATGGGATAAGATTCTTCTGATCGTGATATAAATTGAAATGAAAATTTACATTGAACTCTCTATTCTAGAAGAATAACCTAACACAACAAATACTATCAAATTTCTCTAAAATAGAGAGTTCAATGTAAATTTTCATTTCAATTTATATCACGATTAGAAGAATCTTATCTCATCAGACGAAAATATGCAGTTCATATCAATAGTTGATGTAGAATAATTTATATTTATTTTCTTTTATTTTTGTTTGGAACATACGTCCCTATTTTAGTGATGTACTTAAGATTACACACGACTATAAGTACACGAGTTGACCTCTCTAACTATTAGACAGTCTAATTAATCGAAACACTTGTGATTATTCATATCTTTAAGTATTTTTAAGAAATACTTCTTTCTTGGTGCATTAGTTGCCACCCAAAATTAAGGAAGACTGCCTTATATTAAACGACAAAATTTTCAACAGATATGAATACTTTCGAAATAAGAAAGCCACTCAGAAAAAAAAACATCAAAAAGTATTTTCACCTTCATAGTATAAGTATGCATTGTTGTTAAAAAAATATATAACAAATCCACTGCTCAGCGATTAAGCCGACTCACACAAGAATTTTGCCCTCGTTAACATTGCACCACCCGATGAAATTTGACTCAACAAGCACTAAACTCCATAGATAAATAAATAAAAACTACGTGAATGCTCGTGCGGATTCCACCTTAGAAAACGGGTTGTCTGAGTTTCTCTGACAATGCATAATATCACAAGTACTCTCTTTAGAGATGCGTTTAACCTTGAGGTTCTTGATTCCTGCCAGGATGAATGTTTTTTTTCTCTTCGTTTTTCTTTTGTTGTGGGTTTTTATTTTCGGGTTCTCGGGTGTTTAGGTTTTGAAGCTGGAGATTTTCGTGCATTCGGTGATCATCGGGATATCGTTAAAGGCCTCCCGGAGACCAGACAAGATAAAGAACTCTGTTGATTGCTCTGTCTTTTCATCACTTCTTTTAGGGGATTGGGCTCGGCCGATTGCATTTCTCAGGTAGATCGTTATATATAGTGCTCGGTTTTCCATCGACGTGGAATACGGACCGAGGCTTTTCGATGCTATGTTATCATGGTGTTTTCATGTGTTGTTGGTTTTTTTTTTTATTTATTATTATTTTTATTTATCATACATTATAATTCTTGATGCTAAAAGGAACTTATTCTAAACCTCTCGTCCACACAACCTTCTGTTTGTCTTTGAATGCCTTTATTCCCATAGACAACGTTCAACAAAATTTTGTTTACACTAAACCAACAAAATTTACTCGAAAACCATATAAACTCAGCTGGAATCTTGATTTACATGGCACTTGTTGAACTAATGTTAGGCTTCAATTATGTTGTATAATGTGTTACACAAGGTGTGTTTTGTATTACAACGGGAACCTATGAACTGACTGAAGTGTTCAGTTCGTAC